CACACATATCTATTAAATATAATTATCAATATAAATAGTACACAATTACGTACTCCTAAATTGATATAATCTCCTATTGTGTATTAAGGAGACAAAAAGAAAGTTTACTTCTCAGTTTTCTAACTACATCATAGAAACAAGCAAATAGACAAAAGTGAAGTACATATGTCGATTGACTATATCATGGTCGATGAAAACAACTTCATAATAAATATAAATAAAAAGACAAAAAGATACGAAGCCAGGTCGATAATTGAACAGTCAATTAATTGAGAAATAACACGAGAATATCAAAAACGTCTATTGTATCAACGTAATGTAGTGTTGGTAGCAAAGAATGAAATAACAATGATAATTTCTGTTGATACAACTTCACTTATTGTTACTGTAGTAGTATTGTTAGACACTGTTCGAATGAACCTGAATATGTCCATATATTATTCTGTCACCGAGAAATTCTTAAAAGAAATAGCAACCAATAGAGAAGAAAACATGTTCTTTTTAATTACTAAAATCTTTAGTTTACTTGATCAACTTTATCGATAAATTTTTACATATGATGTATGAGGTCTTAAAATACAATGTCAGTCATTAATATTTCACAACAAATGGGATTACACCTTATGCTTCATTGCACAAAATATTTAATATATGACTATGTATTAGTTCAATCGATGGTTGTATGTTTTAATAGAAAGTGCCACATCGTAAAAAAAATCACTTTTCTCTCTAAATATCTAACATTGTGTGATGTAAACGTGACAATTTAATGGTGAGTTACAGTAGAATCACAATGTTAAGAAAAACAAAACATTTATGCTTTATATTTAGTTCATTTCATATTCGAATTAAAGATAAGAATCGCAATATCAATGATCATTTCTGTCGAATAGTTTGTAAACCGTAGATATTCTCAATACAATTAATATCAAAACAGTTAAACAAACTAAAAGCAATACATGTTAAAATTTCACATGAATCGTGAAACACTCACAAATTTTCAGTTACAAGCATTTCAATAGATTTCAATGAAGGCATACGCCATAAAAACACAGAAAGCGAGAACATATAAAGGAATTAAGCAACAAACTATTTACGATACAATTATACGATAAGGAAATGTTAGATTTCATCATAGAAGACATTCAAAATGACAACGTATTTTCAAGTATTGATTATACTTTTTGCCGTATTCAATGTCTGTGGCACGACACCAGTTTGTGTTTGCGGTGCAATTCTTTGGTTGTTTCTCTTACATGTAATTATTGCAATAACCTGTTGTCGAAATTCATCAAATGTGATCATATACAATGGAAATGATAATATATGATAAGTATAAAGAAGACCATCCAAAAAATATAAAATAGTAGTATTCGAATTGTAAAAAAATGCAAAGCCGACAGTAGCTGGTATAGTCATAATTAAGAAGAGAAATGTTGT